CCTCCCGAGTGACGGCGCCCATTTTGCCCGCCCGCTGAAGAGAGCTGTGCGCGGCCTACGCTCTTTGGGGACAGCCCTTCGAGGCGACGTCGTCGCGAACGCCGGCCTCTCGAGCCAGGGGATCGCTCTGTTGAAAGTCGGTCCCAAAACAGTTAAGGTTTTATTTTCTTTTGTTTTATTTTAAGTCACAGCCCGAGTCTCCTACAACTCTCCCTGGATCACTTCCGGTTGCCGGCCCGCGTCTCGCAACTTCGGTTCTGGAGCTCTCGGCCCGGGCTGCCCCTCGGCTTGCCCCGGGCTCCTGTCGCGCTCTGGCTCGAGCGGCCCGGGGTGGGAGGCCTGGAAGCGTTAGCCTAGCTGCTCTCGAGGCGGAGTAAATTAGCCCAAGAAACATTATATTCATGTGAGTAACCTTTTGCAGAAACACCGCTATACTGAATCTGAAAAAGTATCACTGGAGCTTGGCTGCTGCTGCTCTTTAGCAGGCAGGACTTTTAGATACCCGTTAGTTTGGTACAAGGAAAGGGAGTTGGGGGACTTCAGTTTTTAAAAGTTCAGGTGCTTCACATCTGCTATCCAGAAGACTTTCCTCAGCTCTTTTTTTCTCTTGATGCTGTCAGACAATGGTGAAATTGTATGGAAAAATAATTTTATTTAAGGTATGTCAGTGTGCCATGGCTTAAACATATAGAGCTCCCAACCCTAAAGTTGACGAATTCCACGAGAATTTTAGGAGCAAATTCTAAATCAGACAAAAATGTATGCCGTGCTGCCTCCACAACCCAACCGCGATTGTCTGTTTTTCTATTCCCTGTGTACTTTTGAAGCCAGGCATATATGGCAGTACTGGAAAGGGAACATTCCCTAGGTGCTACTTGAAGAGTGTTGATGCTTTGCTCTTTTCTCCCAAGTCAGTTCCAACCCAAGTCTCCCGACAAATAGGGCCTCAAATCCAGTGGAACTATTTGTAATGTATATGCCGGCAACCTCTGTTTTTACCCGATGCTTAAGGATCACATGGCACATCTTTCCATGATTAAGTTTGATAATAATGAAGGCTGGAAAATTTTCAAATGTACGTTGGACCTATCTGTAATGATCTCTTAACTTTTGATTTTATGTCACATTTTATTTTCGGTTACTGTTCATGGCTACTGTGCCCTTTTGTTATATTTCAAATTTATAAAGTTCCTTTAGACACCTTCAGGAAGAAAAACACCTTTTGTTTATTGTTGGTGTTAGTTAATCTCATATTCTAGAACGACATCCATTTTTATAATGCTAATGGTTACCTTTTTACAACTCCGGACGTTTACTTAGGAAAAAAACTATAACATTTATAGCAAGCTTATTATGTGATAGTCATTCTCATCTAGTGTGTGGAAACTGACCCAGTTGGACTCAGGCTCTACAACTTCCTAGTTTAGTTACCATATGCAAATTACCTAACCTGTTTGCATCTTGCTTTCTTCAACTTGAACTGGGGATACTAATAGTGCCCACCTAATAGCACCCCATGAGGCCATGCACATTAAATGACCTGATTCTGTAAGCATAAGTAAAACACATAAGAACTGCTTCATAAGTACCATTATGATTATTATGTCCTTTAATTCTCATTTTATGCCTCAGGATACTGAGGTGGAAAAAAATGAACTTCCAAGGTCACAAAGCTCATAAGTGGTAGAATCGGGATTCATAAGTAGGCCAGCCTGATTCCAGGGCCCATGTTGTTGGCAACTTCACCCTTTGTAATTGGATGAACTTACTAAATGACTTCAAATAAAGTAAGTGTATTCAGCTGATCAATGTTTAAAAACTGTTCAAATACCTGGAAATTAAAGCAAATCATACTTTTTTAAAAAGAAAAAATAATTCATTTGTTAGAGGAAAAAGTGATGGTTTTCTTAGTAATCTACAAAATCTTGTTACATGTCATCCACTTAGAACCTAATTTTCAAAATGCCTAAAAAGAATTTGTGCCAATATGGTCTCTGGTATCAAGGTGACCCCCCATGGGGACAATCTCTTTTAGTGGATGATACAGCTGTAAAGTTATCCAAACATTTTTTGCATTCTATCTGTATTTGCAGCTGGTAATATTCCTTGAATTGCACAGGTTTATATTTTGTGTATACTATTGCACTTTGTACCTAAGTTTATCTGGAGGTTTTAAGAGACTCATTTTACTTTGAGGTGTCCTGAATTTTGTGGACAAGTGGTATATGCAAAAAAAAATGTTCTCTGGTCGAATAAATTTAGGAAATGTTGGTAAACAACATAAAGTTTCTTTATTGAATAACTTTCCAGAACTTTACCATGCTAATATGCTTTATAACTCAAGATTCCCAAACTTATTTGACCAAGGAAAATGTTGGGAGGAAGTGCTCTGTGAATCGCACTTAGGGAAATGGTGTCCCATTCAACAACCTGTGTCTTTGACAGACTCTGAATCCATCTTGCTCAGCCTTTGCTTTTCTCTGCTGAGGATGTGGTTAGTCAACAACGTTGACGTGGTGATTTCTCTGCCACTTGATCACTGCAGTTCTCTTCCCTAGGCCTTCATGCTGTCTGAATAGTACACAAGTCTAGAATAAGGGGCTAAGGGTTGTCTCCAGGCTCGTCTTGCTGATGACAACATGTTAACCTTTGGGGTAGAGCAGCACATACCACTGCCCTTCTGAGAATATTTTGTAGTGATTCTTAGGAATTCCAAACATCATCTCCAGTCTGCCTGCCCTGTCCTCTGCTTGAATTATTTCATTTTAATATCAATATAAAGAATAAAAGAATAAAGTTGTGTTTTTATTCAAAAGAAATTTAAATATCAACATGATGGTTGTTGCTAGGACCTATGTATAAAATTGAAATGGTCCTGAAACCCTTAATGCTTGGCTTCTACTTTTAAAAAAAAATTGTTGCCTACAACTATGCCTTCTGTGCTCAAATTCAATATATTTATCTGCTATAACTAATTTGATATAAACTAATTTTGTATAAATTTATATATTAATACATAATATATTTTAGATATTAGTTTATTTTCATATATTTAATATAGTAATATATTTTTTATACTAAGGTTTACTGGATCTTTGTTTGGATCACTTTCCAGAGCTCTGGGGAGATGGGAAGGTAGAACAGTGATATCTGCTAAATAGAAAAAATGGCTTAAAATAATGTACCTAGAAACTTACGCATTTTAAGCAAGTGGAAGGGAAGAAAAAAGTTTATGAAGCTTGAAATGAGCCCGGTATTTGGGGGAGGTTTGCTTTCAATACAGTGGTAGTGGTGGTTCTTGCTGGAATTGGTAAAAGAGAAGATATAGCAATTGAAGAAAAAGAAGAAATCCGAGATATAAGTTTTGAGTGTGTAAAATCAGAAGAGGCGTTGGTTAAGGATGAGTTTGAAATGAGAACGCATCCATGTGAAAACAGATACCTATACCAGGCTCAGAGTCACTGCTACTCAAGGTAGAACAGGTGAAGCCAATATGATTCTTTTAAATTAGTCACAAAATCAGACCACTTCTTAAGTCTGTAAGAGTTGTTTTTTTGTTTTGTTTTGTTTTTGTTTTTTTCTATTTTCCTTTTAGGAAGGACAACCTGTTTACAAAAAATATCAGCCTCAGATAGTTAACCTTGAGAAAAAGGGACTTGGTTTCGTTTTATTTATGTCTCTGGCTTTTTCTTATTCTTTCTCCTGATTCTACAATCCGGCTTGCTCTGCACAATCTCACTTTTGAGGATTCTGCCAACCTCCCGAGCTGTGCTGTATTCTCTCTCCCACTCAATGGCTACCTGATGGGAATAGGAGGCCTGTGTTTTGTGAGACAAATCCCCCAGTGGCATGTTTTTCTCTTTGAAAGGAAGAAATATATGCAACTGCAGGGCCATGAGCAGGGTCCAAAAGATCCATTCATGCAAAGTGAATGTCAAGTTCCTATGAGGTCCTGAAATGAGATTCAGGGCTCAGTAGAGGTGTGCTTCCTTTGCACCTCCCAAAGGGCAGAGGGGCTTTTCTGGCTTAGGAAATAAAAATGTAAAGCTATATCTGTATGGGAAAATGAGCTCCTACAACATCCTGCAGCACTACTAAAATGAAACAAGGATCTAGATGAATAATTATCATTTGCTCTCACACAGTTTAGTATCACCATGATCCCCACAGTTACTTGTGGCTCAGAAATTCCACGAAGCTGCCCTAAATATTTTTCCTAACATGAAAATCCCCTTTTGGAAATGTCTTGCTACTATAAGTAAACCTTTCTTAGTAGACTGATAAATAGGTCCTTTGCCTTTAAACACTTAATTTCAGGTTAGAAACCATGCAGATGACTCAATCTTACTTTGTAAAAAATAGAAACTGCTTGGAAGTGGCTTTTACCTGGGGAATATGGCATGCATGTGTCTGTTTTATTGCCTTCTTGCCAAAATAATGTGTCCTTAGGCATGCTCCTGTGCATTTTCTATCGCTTAACTACATTTTGCCAGACACCATTTTGTGAATGCAAAGAATGGGTGAGACCAATGTCCAGCCTCTTGTAGTACTCCTCCTACACCCACAGATCTTATCTAGAATCCTTGAGTGTTTTCTAGCCAATCGCATTACCTTGAGGCTCTGCCTATCACTTCATTGTCACTTTCAGCCTTGCAGAAAGCAGATGTCCTTGGTTCTAATCAGGCTATGCAAATAGACACGTGGGACTTTTGGTTCTGGTTAGTGTTTGCTAGTTCCAAGTCACCTTGCTCAGTGGTGAGTTCATTCAAACCCAGAAAGTCACACCTGTGTCCTGTGCACGGGTGCTGCAGGCTTAGGTGGAGAAAAGCAGGGATAAAGTTGGACCCCAAAGCCCAGAATGGCAGGCGAGGATGTGGGGGCTCCACCCGATCACCTCTGGGTTCACCAAGAGGGTATCTACCGCGACGAATACCAGCGCACATGGGTGGCCGTCGTGGAAGAGGTAACTGTTTTCATTTTACTTATTTCTTTGATTTTGCTTTCAAGTAACTTGATTTCTATCCATTCTCAATATTCTGAAGTCTTTGGTTTTATTTTTGATCATGCCTTTCCATTAGGAGACGAGTTTCCTAAGGGCACGAGTCCAGCAAGTTCAGGTTCCCTTAGGTGACGCAGCTAGGCCAAGTCACCTTCTTACCTCCCAACTACCTCTCATGTGGCAACTCTACCCAGAGGAGCGCTACATGGATAACAACTCTCGCTTGTGGCAGATACAGCATCATTTAATGGTACACATGTTGCTTACTCATTTTCCATTGTATTGGGACCCTTATAACAGAGTACTCTATAAACTTTTATTTTTCTGACAGGTCAGGGGAGTTCAGGAGCTGTTGCTTAAGCTTTTGCCTGATGATTAACCTGGTATGTATTTCTATTTCTCCCCTTTCCTCCCTTTCTTCATTTTCACTCTATTCAGTTGTGGTGATTTGAATGATTTTTTTTTTCCAGGTGCTGGGATTCTAGGAAGATATGCTTCTCTGTTCTGTTCAGTATATGGCAATCTCTTCATCCACCTCTACAGTGCACCCACTCTTGGGCCTGGGGGGAGGGAGTGGGTTGAAAACTGCTCGAGAACACAGACGTTTAGGAAGGGTCATGAAGAACACTGCAAGTGACACTGCAGAGGGAGAGTTACACAGGCAGAAAGTGAGTCAACAAAAGCACTTAGTCAGGACACATAACTTGAAGTTGACTCCTTTGGAAATTGCCATAGAACCTTTAATGGACATCACCGGCTGGAACTGGGGTCTGATGAATCCCACAAAAGTCAGCACGTGCTACAGAACAGATGCCCTGATCACCAAGGACTTGGTACTGATTTAGAGAGAAGAGAGCAGCTCCTAGCAGCATCAACATCTATTTGTCATTTATTTGCCCTACAGAAATTCACCTGCCTTTCCTTCTCCCACCCTGTAAATATCCTAGGTTTGGCTCCAGTGTTTCCCATCCCAGTACTGACCTAATTTGGATCTATTGAGAAATTTACAGGGATCTTAGGGGGAAAGAGTTATTTGTATGATGAAATTAGTTACAAAGACTCCTAGGCCTCTTTTCTTCCTGAAAATGTGTCTTCAGATTATTAGAAGTTAGTTGCTGATCAAAATTGTGGGCACTTAAAATTTCTTCTTTAGTAACAATACTTCAAATAATGTGGTTTTCCTAAGAGCTCCAAAAATTACTTTAGCTGCTTAGTTGGGACTTTTCTCAGGAAGTAATGGCACCAAATATTGTTGATTCCTAGGAAAGCATTTACTACCAGTAAAGGATTTTCTGAGTTAACCATAACATTTATATACATTAAGGTTTTACTTTTTAAGACAAGTCTTGAACTAGGCATGGTAACCTGTAGTGCTAGCTACGGGAGGCTAAAGTAAGAATATTGCTTGAGCCCACAGTTCAAGGCCAGCCTGAGTAACATACATAGTGAGACCTCATTTTTTAAATGTTTTGAGAATAACAGCTACCATGTATTGAGTCCTTACTGCTTTCCAGGCACTGTACTACACACTTTACTTTTTCATATTTAGTTCTTCCATCAAGGCTTTGAGGTAGGTATGATTCCCATTTTATACACGAATGGTAAAGAAAAAGGCTCAAGGATTTGAGTCACTGAGTTTCTTCATGAATCATAGAGCTGGACAGTAGGCCAGGCCCCGTGAGTGGCAGCATCAGTTTCTGTAGCCCAACATTGTTTTACGGTGTTCAAGATGAGTAGATTAAATTTAAGGGTGTTTGTCTCGTGTAAATCTATTTATATCTTCCAAACTTAATGAAATGGATATTATGAAAATACAGTTGGTTCATCATATAAATGGGAAGAATATTTTTAGTGTAATTATTTCCCAGCATTTATAAGGGTATACTACTTGTCTCAGAAGAAAATTTCATGCAGTGGGGCTTTATAGTGATTATGAAAAAAGCAAAATCATTTTTCTTGTTTTAGATTTCTGGATATGCCACAAAAGGATCCGTGCCAGAAACAAGCCTGTGAAATACAGAAATGTTTACAAGGTAGTATGTAATATGCTTTTTAACTATTTTTCCATTTTACCTGTGAACTAACTATAAAAGGCTAATTTTATTATTCTTTTATTAGCACCCTACATTAATACTTCTCAGACTGTACTATTTCTGTGTAACACCAAAGATAGAGAGAAAAAGTAATGCAGTCTAAGCCAGAGGTTTTCCATCTTGGTTGTACGTTAGAATCACCTAGAGAGTGTTGCCTAGAACATTAAATCAGATTTCCTAGGGCTAGTGTCTGGGCAGGTTAAGAATTACAGAACTGAGCAAGTTGTTTTATAAAAAGACTAGTTTTAAAACTAGCCTTTTGGGACTGGGGGTGCAGCTCCTTAGTAAAGTAATTGCTCCGCATGCTCAGAGCCCTGGATTTGATCTCCAACACTGCTAAAACCAAACAAAAAACTAGTCTTCACTGCAGCTGACAACTCACTTTTTAAAAGCAGTCTGGCAGGAGGGGGTTGAAAGTACAAGTGGAATTCAATTGCCTCAGTCAGCAACTAACTCTTAATAGCAAAAGTAAACTTCAATTAAAGCATATTTGATGTGATTTGTCCATTAGGCTTTAAATCAGCTACTATGTTTGACCAAATATTAGATTATTTTTTAATCAGCAAGTGACTGTTGCCAGAAAAGCAAATAACAAAAGCTATAATGCTATGTGAAAAGTGGATTTTTGTGCATGTTTCCTATTATTAAAGTAATAGAGGTGGATAATCATGAACACATAGAAAGATGTGAGGAAAAATGGTCAAGGTTCCTCTAAATATTTACCATCAAAGAAAGCCTTTGTGTATTTCATTTGATGTAACTTTCATTTTAGTTCATTTTATGATGTAAACAATATTTTATAAAACCTTTTCTAAAATATTGTATACTTCAGTTTTACTGCATTTTAAGAAGAAGAAAAACAATTTTTGCACTTAATTTCTTCTAAGTAAAACCTCATTTGAAGTAGCAACTGACAGCTAAAGGGAAATAAATCAAATTAAAAAGAGCTGGTATAGTGTGAAAGGTTTCAGCTGAAAAGACTACTTACTAGGTGACACAGGCTGTACACATTTTATCTTTTTGTCTATGAGGTAGAAGCTACTGTGGCCACCATTTTATAGACACAGGTTATATACTGTAACTTGTCAGACTTCCATAACTATTGAGAGGTATGGCTACTTCCCATGCACCCCCTCAGATCATCTGAAATCTGCAAATGTTTTCTGTAAAGGGCCAAACAGGTAATATTTTAGGCTGTGGAGGTTGTAAGGTCTTTGTTGTGTATTCTGTGTTTATAAAAATCAATTATTCTTATATATGTGGACCATGTGCATTTTTCTAATTCATCAAATTACCAAAAGGGATCAGTGACCCCCTTTAAAAAGGCACATAAGATGGACCAGGATGTACCTCAGTGGTACCGTGCCTGCCTGGCAAGCGCAAGGTACTTAGTTCAGTCCCTAGGCCTGGGGAAAAAAAAGGCATGTAAGAGGGATGGAGATCAGCAGCCCTGTGCCTACCTGGCATGTGCCAAGGTCCTGAGTTCAATTTCCCATACCAGGGGGAAAAAGGCACTTTAACTATTAACTTGACCTTAAAAGAAAATGAAATTATATATTAAAAGTTTTCAACTTCTTTGTAAATTATACTTTTCCTAACTGACCTGTTGACAAATCTCTAAATGACAAAGAATCCAGTGGACTTGAATATATCTACTGTACTTGCTTCATTTCATATGTACTGAAAGTGAAAAGGGGTGAAAGGTGCTGATCTACATCTCTCTGTACACTCAGCCCAGAGATCATGACTAGGGTCTGCCTGTCTGTTTTTCAGCCAACAATTACATGGAATCAAAGTGTCAGGCTGCCATTCAAGAACTGCGTAAGTGTTGTGCTCGATATCCCAAGGGAAGATCTCCTGTCTGTTCAGGATTTGAAAAAGAAGAGGAAGAAAAGCTTGCACTGAAGTCTGCCTCAAAGTAAAGTTCTGCTGAGAAGTTAAATGCTGCTTTATTTCCACCAAGAACATTTTGCTTATCCTGACTTCTTTCAGGCCAGGTAGCAGCAAATAGCAAATGAAAAAATCCAACTACAACAGTTAATAAATATGCCATCTATGCAGAATAGACAGAAACAGGAATAGGAATGTATTTAACATAAAAATATGTAGAATGTAAAAACTGAGCTGCTAAAATAAAGCTGTTTAAGTGAAGATTTTTGATTTTGTGCTCAGTGTATTTTATGGCTGTTAGATACAACTATTAATGAATTTTTGAGTTCACCACTACTGCAGTCATGGGAGGCATGTTAGGTGAAGACTCCTGCCTCATTCCCTAGATTACATGCTAAATTAGTTCAAAACTTCTTCAGCCTAACTCCATACCTGTTGTACTTGTGGAATGCAAAGTACCCTTCCAGATGCCCGTAGGCACATTTCTTTCTGCTTTACATTCCCACCACAGAACCTAGCGAGAAGTTGCTCAGTTTGTTTCAGTCAGTGGTAGGAAAGGCATACAAATGATTCCTGTCATGTTTGGTGGTCCCTTATTGTAAAGGGACTGAACACATTTCATTGGAAGTCAGGTAGGCAAAAATAGAATGAAATGTTAAGTAGTTTATCTATTCTTTATGTCCTTATAATCAAAAGCTGTTACACTAGATCCAGGTATTAATACAGAGCTGCTGAGGGAATCCTGTTGGCAGTTTGCAGCTACTTTATGGCCATTTGCTTTCCTCCAATAGGTAGTAGATCCTCCTCTGTCCCTCCTCCCCAAAAGAAAAAGATGACTTTCGAGTGAATGGATGCCTTTCTATAAGATGACTACCAGAATAAAAGCAGGAGCAGCTGGGCGTGCTGGTGCATGCCTGTCGTCCCAGCATTCAGGAGGCTGAGGCAGGAGGATCACTGTGAGTTTGAGACCAGCCTGGGCTACAGTGAGTTCCAGGGCACTCTGAACTACACAGACCTGGTCTCAAAAAAATAAAATACAAGCAGGAGCAATTCTAGTAAGTCCTCAATGTCCAAGGTCCAAATATCACTAGTGTTTGAGGCAGTATTCCCCAGTGTTTCTAGAAATGGTTTTTCAACAGAATAAAAAAGTTTCTGTGGCCAGGTACTTGGGGAGTGCTAGGCTAGACGCAAACAGGTTACTTTGCTGTCATGCTTTAGTTGTTTGTGTGCTGATGTAAATGATTCTTTGGCAATGATTATATTGCCAAGTGAAACTTTTTTCAGACAAGAATTTCTTTGTATTGTTCTCCTGAGACTTAGAGAAATACTGCCTTGGGGACATGGGACGATAAACCAGAGTTAACAGTGCGAAATTCTCATGAAATAATTTAAATGAACCCTTGTGTTGATAGTAAAACAATTTAATAAGGTGTTTTACGACCATGTTTGTATCAACTCTAAACTAAATAACCTAAAATTATTAGATGGTGGGATTTACATTAGAACTATAAAATCAAATAGGTTATTTTTCTGTCTTATTACAAAATTATTTTTACTAAGTTTTTTTTTCAGGCTGTTTTAAGTATTTTTGTTTTCCTAAGGTACAGACTTCAAGTTGAAAAGCTTCAAATCAATTGTTTCTTCCTTTTCACTTGTGGTGATCCCTCCTGCCTCAGCCTCCTGACTGATGGGATTACAGACATGCACCACATCAGGTATTCATTCCCCATTTTAGAGCAGAGAAATGGAGCTGATAATTTGGTAGAGGGAGCAGAGGGTAGTATTCTAATTTTCCTACAGGGCTGGAATTTCAGATCATACCAAACACTGATGATACTCAGAAATTTTAAATCCAACCTTATACCATTTTCCACAACTGTATACAAGTAAACTTTTCAAATTAGGAGCTCAGTCACCGTTAGGCCCAGCTTTTTGGCAATTGTCAAACAAAAGGATTATAGAACATTCTTACAATAGTTAATATACCGAACTCTTTGGAAACCACAAGCACCCGCCCCAGAAGCATGTTAGCTGGAATCATGTAGAGTTCATTCCTTGCAGAATCCAGCCTTCCTACTAGAATCACATCTGGTCTCCTGTTAGAATCGTGAGGCAGTAACTGCACATCTCAGGCAACAAGGGCTGTCCCCCAACTGACGGCTGAGTGGGCTGAGCAAACGGAATTTGGTTAGGAGTTAGCACGACGACAGTGGCATTCATAAGGAGCTTAGGGTCAGAATGAGGACAGAGTCTTGGAGAGACTGGAAACACTGGCATCCATCTACTGGTGCCAAGCAAAAAAGGCACCCGCTCCTGCACACTGTCCTCACTGCCTCACGAAAGGGAGAACTTCAGCAGATTCATCTAACACCGCTGCTGGCACAAAGGGATGCCCAGAGTGGCTGGCATGCAAGGTGAAGCCTCAGTGGCCCAGAAGGGGACATGAGAGCCCTGGGTGGGCACTACTGAGTGCAGAAGGGGGAAAAGACAGCAGGAATTCCTGCCACGTAGCTTTGGGTAATATAGATCTTTAACTGTAAAAGCTGGGACTGTAGTGTCACATCCCCGTCAGCAGGGGGCACCAGAACCTCGAACACAGTCTAAGCCAAAGTCTCTGGGCAGTGCGTTCTGACAATGCTCAAGGTCAATTAACCACTCTACCTGAAGCAAGGCTGCTGGCGTGAGGCCTCAGCTTAGCCTCTCTAAAAGCCCAAGACTACTTCAGTGAGGGTTCAGTTAAATGGAACCAGCTCCACACGATTCCAAGTGAACAGTGCTCAAGGCCACCTTCATCGTATCAGGATGAAAGCAATCTGCAATATGGACCTCCCTACATCCTTCAAGGTCTCAGCAGCAGCCAGCTAGGAATAAATGCCAGGAGGGACATACAGACATTTCAGATCAACAGTATGAAGTCTGACACCAGACTACTGCTTACTACAACCTTAACAAGGAGGTTAGGTCAACCTAATTTTTGCTACGCTCACCAACAATCACAAAGAGATGCAGCACACCTCCAGCCCACAGGAAAGGCATTTGGTGGCCAGCCCCACTCCATGCAGCCCAGAAGGACACTCCTTTTAGTTTTTGTTGTTGTTTTTCCAACAGGGTCCTGCTGGGTAGTTCAGGACAGTCTTTAATTCTCTATGTAGCCCACCTCGGCCTCAAACTCGCAGTGATCTTCCTGCCTCAGCCTCTTGAGCTCTTGGATGACAGAGGTGCACCACCACACTCAGCTGTCTTTGTTGTTAGCTTGTGCTGCCACCATTCCATGACCACCATAAATGACATAAATCAGAGTCCCAGGCCTCAGGAAAATGTAGGGAACTAGGAAACAGATGACTCCGTGTCATCAGTAAATACGCTGCAAGTAAAAATTTTTTAAAAGGACCTATAAGATTACAATACGAAGATGACCCAAATGTTATGTGGACCTTGTATGGGTTTTGATTCAAACAAAATAAATGTGTATCACTTGAGGTAAGGAAATGTTGAACAATGACTAGATACTCAATGATATTAAAGAATTTTGGTTTTGGTACAACAAAGTATTGTTATGATCTTTAAAAAGAGTACTTACCCTGCAGAAAAACATACCACAGTGTGATTAAAATGATTCTTTAATATTTGTTTCACAATAATTGATAAAAGAAGTATAGCTATGATTTCATGATTAAGTGCGTGATGGACACAGGGGGTGTCACTGTAGTATACTCTTTACTTTCATATCTGATTCAAATTTTCCATAATAAAAAGCAAAAATCATTTTTTAAGTTCTTGGAAAAAAATGTAGTAAAGAGGCTCATAACATTATAATCTGGGATGAGAAATACATAGTACAAGCAAAATAGGTTATGTTGGCTTAAAAGTTATTTGAATGTACTGAGAAAAATGCAAATGGATGAATTCTATAAAGTTCTACACATGTACTGGCTGTTTCAATTTTCAGCTTCAATACATGACTCACAAGATAGTTTAAAAAGCAAACATTTTAAATTATGGGATTAGAAACACAAATATTTTACATGGAACCACCTGCAGGTTTAAGAACTAACTCTGAGTAAAATTTACCTGTACTAGGTAAGTCCAGAGGTTATGATCCATATATTCAACAAATACTTAGAACCTATTAAGTGCTAGACCCTGGGAGTATAATAGTTAAAGACAACAGAAGCCTGGCCCTTTGGAAACTGATATTCTAGTCAGGGTTATGGTAAATGTGTTAAGACTCTCTTTGTGTGTGCATCAAATTCTATTTGAAAGAATATTTCTGAGAGTTGAAGGTCATCATGAAACAGCAAATTATACTTGATGGGAATTTATTCCACATATACTGTACTATTAATTATTTCTCAATTCTAAATGCCTGGAATGCTACTTCTTTCAAATTCTGCTTTAAATGATGTATCCTATAGTAACTGGGTAAAGAAACAGAGTTGGCACACAGGAACTATGGCCATCCCTAATGTTTTGAGAGATATGAACAATATTTCACATTTCTATTTTTTTTTCAGGGCTGGGGACTGAACCTCACAAATTCCCAGACAGGTGTTCTAACACGGAGCTCCACCCCCAACCCTTTAACTTTTATTTTGACACACAGTCTCTGAATTGCCCAGGCTGACTTTGAACTTGCTACCCTCCTAAATCAATAAATCAGAATCTCAAGTGACTGGGATTACAGGCATATGCCACCACACTCAGCCACATAAAACCTTTTCTATGAAATAGTTCAAGAGCTTCTTTCTTCTCCCACCTAAATACTTGTTTTACTATAAATAAACCCTTTCAGTAGCCATGGCATGTGTCATCCAGTATGATAGATAACATTCCTAAATTAACAGTCATCTAACCATCTAACAACGGATTTCTAACAGTTGGTTTCCCTAAAGACTTTCCTATCAAATACAGTATCTTCAACACAGCATATGCCTTCAGTCTAAATTCATTTCATATTGATTTTCTCTGTTATAGTTCTTAGGCTGCCATTTTGTCAAGATAATTATAGCTGGTATAAATAGCTCTCTTCCTGTAATTTAAAACCAACTAAAAAAGGAAGTACACACCAAGATATCAAAATTGTTCATGCTTAAAAGCAAATGTATTCAGGTCCTTTTTGTGAAGCACATAATAGGATAACTATGTGCTTTGAGGATCCTCGCATCCTCCATGGTGAACCATCTTGCAGTGTGTTCTGATAAGCATCTCACATAGGGGGAAAAAAGGAACATTCTTGCTGACCTAGATTTGGCCAAGTGGGGAGCGTACTGGGAAGAGTGCTAATGTCTACTGTCTCTTCTGTTATTTTCGAGCTCATAGTAGGGCCGGTATTAACTTGTACCAGCAGATGCCTAGAGAAGCCATTCAGATCTGTCGTAACGGGGAAGAAGGCACAGGAGAGGAGGAAGAGGAGACACTTGATGCCCTATGATGGAGTGTAGTGGCTGGCTGCTGGCTGGAGAAAAACAGAAAATGGAAGTATAATTGTCCTCCTTAGGATGCCATGCCGAGCAGAAAGCCTCCAAAAAATCCTCCAGTCACTACAACATTCTTCTTCACAAATGACACAACCTGGAAACAGAAGATTTAGCAAATGGATTATTTTGCAAAGGATGTCGATATCAGGATCCATCTCTATTACCAAAGATTAATAGGCAACATCTTTCTTTCCTTCAGCTACAAAGCTTACCATCTCCCTCCTCCTGTAAAGTTCCTGCTCATCTGAGGCTCAGAGGATACACTCAGGTACCCTTTGTGGCTCCTGACTGACAGCATCTTGGCCTAAGTATTCCTTGAAATCAAGCAGTGACTTCAGCTCCCACCACATAAGCTACTGACACCCTAAATTCCCCCATCATCCTTCCACCCCTATTCTCCTGAATCAGTCTTCAAACCTCACACCCACTCCTGCCCCTAACTCCCCTGGATCTTTACATTTCCCTAAACAAAGTACTATCCTTATCTACCACCAGAGGGAAAGAAAAGGGCTCTATCTTCTTTGAAAGAACTGCATTCATTTATTATTTTTACTTTCTTCCTATTTATTCTTCGATTTGCTACTTAGTCACTCGATTCCACACTAAAACTGTTTGCACTGAAGTCACCTTGTTGCTAAATACTACTTAACATCTTCATTTTGTTTTCCAAGTCAGAAAACAGGTTCTATGATCCTTTACACTGGACAACAGCATTAGCTTTGGCAAGTAGCTTGCTACCATACAGAGGCTATCACCATGCACCTGGCATGCTGAGATGTCTGCTCAGTATTTTTCTATTTTGCTGTCATTTACCATTTTCCAACTTCCACAAGTTGCTGACATCTCTTGTATACCAGTGTTCATCTCCTGTTCTCTTGGTCCTTGTGAGTTTGAACCTTTTTTTTTTTTTTACATTGTTACCATCTTTCAGAAATACTTCAGAAGTAGAAATGTGTTTATCTGCCATATTTAACCTAAGCAACTCATCTTCTACTACTATTTTACTTGATTATGTGACAGTTTCCTGTCCCTGCTACTACAGTGTGGCTGCCTCAAAGACAAGGAGTGTTCAGATTTACCTTTAAGTCCCCAGTACCTAGCATGAAAAGCCAGTCAGCCCCCAAAACCTTGAGGAGGAAACAAGGTATTTTCTTCCTCTGCACTAAATCTATTCCTTTTCCCCATAAAACAGTAGTGGCAGAATCTCACTATTCAGATGATAAAAGAGACCAGCCACCTTCTTGACACCCCAGCCCGTTTATTTTGCCCTAGTTCAGTGTACTTATTTCTTTGTGATATTTAATGTTTTTCCAAACGTAATAAAGTAGCAAAATACATGTTTCCTATTTCTTCAATGCTAGTTAATATAACCTAACCTGGCTTTATGCTCCTGCTATCTGCTTTTAAATAAAGTTTTACTGCAACACAGCCACACCCACTTGTTTATACATTATCTATGGCTATTTTCATTCTACATGGTACAGCTAAGTAGTTATGATGAAGACCATATGGCCCACAAAGCTGAAAATATTTACCATCTGGTCCTTTATAGAAGTCTGCCAACCCCTCAGCTAGACAGTCCTACTAGTTTGTGTAGAACAAGCAGAGTGGATGTTTCAGAGGCATGGGCTTGGAGACAAAATAACTCAAAATGATACTGGCAGCAGGACTTACTTCCCACCCATGGTGGTACCCCCAATCCTAAAAGAACCAGTTAACTGCAAGTACTATCTGTATATCATATGACTTTGTATACTGACAAAGGCCACCAAATATTTCAACCAAGGCTGACCTACACAATACAGCTTTTGTCTTATTATTTCAAGTTCTTTGTAATCTTTAACCTTGTCCATTGCTGAAATATTGGTGCGTCTACTTCATTTCTGTCTGTACCCTTTACACACTGCATGGGAACAAAATAAGCCTCACCTCCTCCGCTTTGCTCTTGACCTCGGGTGTTATCTGGTTGCTCTTACGAATCTTCAGCTGCTCTTTGGCTTTTTTCATGTCTGTCTCCACTCGCTGCCAGTCGACTTTAATGTATCCAGTGTGGTTTGCAAGCTACAGTTTCAAAAACAATGAAATAAAGAAATAAGAAACAGAAACTTGTTATTCCTTTTGTGAGATAAATCATGAAGTAGATAGTGAAACTTTCTGACTTTCCATTTTTGGAAACAAGTGCTCCCTGGCTCTTTGTAGATGATGGCATTTGTTCAACTTCTACTCAGCACCCACCCTATGCATACTTGGCAATGGAAATAAACAGATGGCCCTCAATAACTGCTGACAATCTCTCAGTTTATTTATGGTCTTCTCCCTCCTTTACAGAGTTTTTTTTTTCAGAGTTTTAAGTTAGCTTAAAAAATAAGATGGTAAAATGGAAATTAAAATAAGAAGGTCAGTGAAAATTCTATCAAGGAAATTTGAACATGATAAGATTGATTCAAATGCACATTTTTAGGATGGGTTAGTGTCATCCATATCCATGGAGTAAAGAGAATGAATGTAGCCTATTACTCAATCCCCCATCAATACCACTTCTCTCTACCCAATTTTTGGTAAGTCATATCTAAAATGGAAACTTTTTACCCTTCTAGCATCTCCTCCTGCAGCTACCCTTCCTCTACGACCTATATTATTTAATGACACCACCAACCAATTACTTATTCTGAAGAAAAAAATTTGTATCACGAACAAAACATTAATACTCATACAAAAAAGTGAAGTTCTTATACGGGTCAGTGAGGAAAAATAAAACCCACTTGCAAAATGGGTAAAGGCAATTCACATAATAAATTGACCCAAAAAAAGAAAAATTTCAACTTCACAAAGTACTTCAGAGCCAGACGTGGTGGCGCACGCCTGTACTCCCAGCACTCAGGAGGCTGAGGCAGGAAGATCACTGTGAGTTCCAGACCAGCCTTGGCTACATAGTAAGTTCCGGGGCAGTCTCAACTACATAGTGAGACCCTGTCTCAAAACAACAACAAACAAACAAACAAAACCAAAGTACTTCAGGAAGTGTAAATTAAAACAATGTGCTTCTACAGTTTTTCATCAGATTGGAGAAAAAGATTAAGAATACCCTATGTTGGTGAAGATATGGGGAAACATTATTAATACATTCTTACTGAGAGCATTAATTGGAGCCTTTGAAGAGAACAATTTGGCATTCACTACCAACAGTGAATTTACACGTGCTCTTATGCCACATCCAGGATGGAAGAAGCCATTATAGTAGCTTTGCTTAGAATAGTCAGTAACTGGAAATAACCTGCAAGTCCATCAGCAAGGGAACAGATAAATAAATCATGTCTTTTTTATACAACCAAATATTAGTACTGAAAAGAATAAAGCTTGGGGCTAGGGATTTAGCTCAGTGGTTCTGCCGCCTGCCTCGCAAGTGCAAGGTCCTGAGTTCCACTGCAGATATAAAAATTAATAATAATAATAATAAAATAAAGAACAAAGGTTTACAGCAGCAACGTAGTTGAAAATCAAAAATTATATGATAGCCAATGGTTGCAGCTCATTTATTATAATGTTTTCCCACAGAATCCTGTTACTAACCAATGGAATACAGAGAATAGCTTCTCGAGGGCTCTAACAAAACAAACAAACCAAACCAAAGAGCAAGAGCAGATTAGAGAATTCAAGGCACCACTGAATTTGTGGTGTGATTCCTGTTTTGCCTGTGGTACCATCTGGCCTATCCTCAAAGCATGACTCAAAAACATTTGACAAAATTCAACATACATTCATGACAAAACTCTCAGTGAACTAGGAATAGAAGGGAACTTCCTCAACTTCATAAAGAACATCAACAAAAAAACCACACAACATTGAACAAATGTGATGAAAGAAAGCTGGGAACAAGGAAAATATGTCCACTCACTACACTCCTATTCAATATCATGCCAGAAATGAAACTATAGTAAATAAACAAAGAAAAACAAATGAGGCATTCAGATTAGAAAAGAAGTAGTGAAACTGTCCCTACTCACACATACCTTTGTCCACACAATCTCAAAGAATCCAACAAAAATAAAAGCTCCTACACTTAAAAAGAAAGTGAGTTTAGTTTAACACACAAAATCAACTGAATTTCTATCTGCTAGCAATTTGAACAACAGGATATAAAAATGTTTAAATGATGTATAATACCTCAATAATAGTTATAAATCTAACAAAACATGCAGAACCCATAGGCTGAAAACCACAAAATAATAAATAAAAAAACTCAAAGCCAATCCAAATAGATATACACCATATATATGAAAGACCTGACATAGAAATGATACACAAAACACAACACTAGCATGATCTTTTACAGATATTTAAAATGCAAGTTCTAAAATTTACATGGAAAGGTAAATGAAGTAGAACTACCCAAATAATTGTGAAAAAGAACAAATCTGGGGCTGGGCATATGTGATAAGCAATTGCCTAGCATGTACAAGGCTATGGGTTTGATCCCAAGTACCGAAAGAAAAAAGAACAGAGCTGGAGGAATCTCACTGTCTGATTTTAGGATTTTCTATAATGCTTCAGCAGTCAAGACAGCATGATATCGAAGTGATACACAAATCAATGGAATAGAAGGAAATGTACAGAAAGAGATCCATACAAAAATTTTTAAAAGAATTCTTTTTTTCCAAAATAGCAAAATCAGTACTGGTGGTAGCTAAGTCCCCTGTGTGGCCCAGGCCAGGGGCAGGAGGTAGCTTCCTGTTCTCTGTTGGCATCACTGGAAGAATACACTGCAGAAATGGAGCATGAAAAGGAAGTGCCTCTACACACAAAGCTTAGCAATGCACGCCTTCCTTTGAAGAAGAAATGCCAGAATCCAGTCTACGAGCGCTGACTGTGGAAGGCGAATGTGGACTAAGAGGCAATGTGCTGAAAATGGGCACATGACTCATGAGTGCTGCTGCTCAATGGTGACTGAAATCAGAACACTGTGAACTGCAGTGGCCTCAATGCCTCAAGAAGCGTTGGTCTGTAAGGAAAAACAAATTCATGAAGACTGTGAAGGAAAAATGCCATTGTTTTTATAGATGGCATGATTTTTTTTTTTTTTTGGTGGTACCGGGGATTGAACTTGGGTCCGTGGGCTTGCAAGGCAGGCCACTGAACCGCTGAGCTAAATCCCTGGCCCAATAGATGGCATGATTTTATAGATAAAATCCCAAACAAATAAAAAATAAGAGGCTTTAGAAAGGGTGGCTATAAGAGCAACATAAATTATCAAATGCATTTCAATATGCCAATGTGAGTTAGATCATGAAGTTTCAAATTTTACATCAAACAGAGAAGTAATTAAAGCTATAACATACCTAGAAATAAAGTCAAATCACAATGTACAAGACCTACATGGAAAAATAATAGAACTCTATTCAGTGACATTAAAGATGACCTAAATAAACAGAAAGGACATGTTCAGATAGATGCTGAAAGATCAAAACTAAATTAATCTTTCCCAGTTCATATTGTTCCAATGCAATCCCAGTAAAAATTTCAATAGATTTTTGAAAGTAATTGAACATGCCACTCTATAATTCAGAAGGTTGATCAAAAATACAAAGTAGCTATGACAGGGCTGGGGATTCAGCTCAGTGATGCCGCCGCCTGCCTCAAAGTGCAAGGACCTGAGTTCGATTCCCAGTACCAAAAAAAAAAAAAAAAAAAAATAATAACGCTGCCAGAACAATTATCAGCATGAAAAACTGAGACAGACATGTATAGACAAAACTATAGTGATGGAAGAGAGAGCAGTTGCCAGGGAGTGGTAGCTGTGACCATAGAGGAGTTTTGAAGGATGCTGGAATGACAGAGCAGCTCTGTGTCCTGGCCACCATGGTAACAGAAATGCACTCCCCCATCTGTTTACTGTATGAAAAGTTAGAAATAAAGAGAAATAAACATGCGCTTCCTTGCACCCCCCAAAAAAGGAGAATGAAAAATGGGAGACAGACACAAACACAGAGATCCAGCCAGCTCACATCTGCCTGTAATCATGAGAATCAGCCACAAGCACTCCTGTTACCCCTTCCCAAACTTCTGACACACATTCACCATGACAGATAATAAAATGGTAGCTATCTGAAGAAATTAAGTTTGAAAAAATTTCCAGCTAGTTACTGGCTTCTTCCTTCCACACAATGAATTTTCACCTCATCTGTCTGGAAAACTCACTACAACTGTGCTGATATAGAACTTACTTGTCCAAATGAGGGATGCCAAATGTGGAAGGAGGAAAAGCAGTGCAAATTCAGAGGCTGGCACAACTCAACAAGTCATGGCTCTTTCAATGCAGCAGTTCTCACAGAGTGCTGCATATCAGAGTCATTCTGGAAATTTGAAATGTTCTGATGTAAGTCCATGCCTACGACCAATGAAATCAGATTTGAGAGTGCCAATGAATATCAGTGTTTTTATAAAAAAAAAAAAACTACCAGTGATTCCAATGCACAGCCAAATTTGAACACAAATGCTGCAGAACTAAGAAATGTGTGCCCACTACAATTAAATATGTTTTCTTTTGCCTTGCAGAAGCTGTTCCTTGTTTTTTCCCTAGCCTCGTAGAATCTGCATCCACTCATTTTGAAATATAAACTACAGGCCAAAGAGACAGCTGTGTCCTCAATGAAACAGCTAACACCTTAGCACGTTCATTATGGGGCTGTAATTTCTCTGTCTTGCTCCCAAGGTGGCTCTGATTTAAATTGACTGTCCCATTGGGTGGTTTGGACTACCAGTGGTACCACTTCTCAGGGGGATCTTTGATTACAATAATGCAAAGAAGGCATTGACTTAGCAGACCTGATGTCATCATATTACAGTTCCTTAAGACATTAAAATGGCATAAAAAATGTAATAGCTAATCTGTGGTACAGCAGTTGTAAATGCATATTTTTACATCAGCAATGGGGTACTTGTGAAATTTCCATGTTAGGGCCAGGGATTTAGCTCAGTGACGCTGCACTGGCCTCACAAGTGCAAGGTCCTGAGTTCGATCCCCCATTAATGCAAGGGGAAAAAAAAGATTTCAATGTAAAAATTTACAGAATTATTGATTCAAATTACTCAAAAAACATTCATTTTGTAAAAAAGCTTATTTAGGATTGGCAAGAAACTCATGCAAGTGATGTAGAGAATGTTATCAAAAATTATCAGAAAAAATGCGTGCCTCTGAGGCCTCAAAAAAAGCCAATTTCATTACAATGTTTCATACACTGTACAAATCAGTCGCTTTTATGTATGTTTTTTAAAAATTCACAAATACAAATACATTTGTTTTAGTTTAATGAATAAATATGATTGCTGTAATAATTATACTTGGTATAAATAATACTAATATGTATTGGACAATGTTATAGCTTGTGTCTAGTGTCCCCCCAGAGCTTCATGCAGTCATAGGTGGGGCTTTTGCAGAGGAGGCTGGATCTAGCGTGTGTGATACTGGGAATGATTCATGGCACAATACTAGGCTCAAGGGCACTAGGATTAAGGTGGTGAGTGCTATCCACCCTAAGTACCCTAGATAGGATATAAGGGACAGAAAGAGCTGTGGTTATCTTTGCTGCTTTGCTACCTTCTGCCCACCATGAACTGTTTCTCCTCTGCAATGCCACCCTGACTTGGAGCCACCCTGACTAATTATGGACTGAATCCTGTTAAAAAATGTGAGCTAATAGAAATTTGAAGAAAGGAGCTAAAGGTGTAGGGAAGGTGTGATGCGTAGGGGAAGAACAAAAAGGGAAAAGAAAAAAATGTGAGAGAATGAAAAGATGAAAATAAAGTGTTTGTAGATGGGGAGGGGAGGAGGGGGTGAAGGGAGGGCAGAGGTAAGGGGAAAAAATGAGAATCAAGACTTGCCATGTAAAGGTACATGATCCCAACAATGAATGTAACTGTACTGTATCCCTAAAATGTACCAATAAACTCAATAAAATTTTTTTAAAAATGTGAGCTAAATAAAACTTTCCCCCTTAACTTTGAGTGCCAAGTATTTTGTCTCAGCAATGACAGAAAAGTAACTAAGACAGGCAATAATTATTCCAATTCAACCTACTAACTAGATTTGGTCCATTTATAGACTTTTTATTAATTTTATCAGTAAAAAGACCAATAGAAGTCATTAAATATATTTGTACCCCAGTGATACAAGCTGCCTGATGGGACAATCACGCACCTATCACCAGTAAGGCATATGAGCTGGTAGAAATGTGTTAATCCATGAGAATAAAATGTGTCCCAGAGAACCAGGGTCACACTTTGTAGTTTTAAAATATTTGCTTAACATTTCAGTAGTTCTTAAGGGAGCTATGAAAAGGAATATGTACTTCTGTCCCCATGTTATACATGAGGAAATAAAATATGATCAGTGGCTGATAAAATTCGAGTGAAATGGTTACTAGCTTTTAAAATAGCACATAAAAACAAGTGGAAATAATAAGGACAGAACTACATTATAACTCCTCAAATCTCACTGGTCCCTAATGGAGAAGTAGAATTTTCAAGCACCTTGGAATACTTCATATACAGACCTGAAGGAGAAAAAATCCACCTCCAACAGCTGTTGCAGCCAACTTTCCAACCTTCTGAAATATGAAACCAGTGCACCTACAAAAACAAAACCAGTATCAGATCAGCTGACAGACTGTCAGAGGCACACAACATGCAGTTCTGGTGATATTCAGACCCTCCTTGAGATGATCCAGCTCCTTCCTATCCCCTACAAAAAGCTAGCCCGAAATGGTGCATGACATAAACAAATCAAATCTGGCTCTACCACTTAGTAAGTCAGGGGTTTTTTTAGCAAGTACCTTAAAACTCTCAGGGAGAGTTTCTAAAAAGATGACTGTGCTGGCGGACTGAGTTAGAAGACAGAGTGGTTGCAGGGCATAAGGGCAGGATTCTGTCCTAAATGACCTAGGGAGACAGTGATTGGCATTTTTAATAACATGAAAACAAGAAAAAGGAACAGAGAAAAAGATGGTGGGAAGGTGGAGAGAATAGCGTCATTTTGAAAATGTTGAATATGAAATGTCTGTATCAGTGATACTGAATCTTTTAGAGCTTTCAATGACAACAAACAGCCCTCTGTGGCACCTGTGCCATAGGTTTACCACCATTAGTATACATGATATATGAGTGGCTACATCTAATGGCCAGTTTAATGTCATTATTTGATTTATGATTTTCTCCCTTCTGCCTCTACCTTGCACTAAAACATAAGCTCTGTGAGGGCAGAGATTCCATTTTGTTCACTGCTGTATGAAAATACCCTGTAACTGATCACTGGGCATTAAGTTATTATACCTAGGAGCAAAAAGTTCTATATAGCACAGTAGGGTGACTACAGATGATGATAATGCACTATGTATTTCAAATGGCTAGAAAGGACTGTCACTGTTTTTACCATAGAAGAAATGATAAATGTTTGAGATGTTTACTCTGATTTAAATACTGCAAAATATACACATGTATTGAAACAATCACATGGTACCGCATTAATATATACAATTTTTATTATGTGCCAATTAAAAATAAATATAAGTTAAAAATGTTTTAAAGACTCACAATTTCAATTAGGAAGAATAAATTCAAGAAATCTATACATTATGGTGATTACAGTTAATACTGCATATCTGAAAGTTGGTGAGTATAGATTTCAAGTGTTCTCATCACAAAAACATGTTAAATATGTGAGGTAATGAATATGTTACACATTTTGATTTAGTCATTCCACAAAGTATACATACCTCAAAACATGTTGAATACTACAAATATATACAATTTTTACTTGTCAGTTAAATTTTTAAAAATCTTAAATGTACATAGGTGTAAGCATCCAAGTAAAATGAAGAGATTGTCAAATGGAATTTTAAAACATAAGACCTATCTATCTGCTGCCTCAAGAAACCCTCATTTTAAATAAAAGAAGACAGTTGGAAACTCCATGCATGGAATTCCTTGGCACTCTGCCTCATGCACTGCTTCCTTTGGTTGGCTTTTATTTGTACCTTTTTGTTGTAAAACTGTAATACCAAGCAGAACACATCTGAGTTCTGCAAATCCTCCCAGAGAATTAGTAAACACAAGGGTAGTCGAGGAACCCCCAAAATCTGCAATCTAATATGTAACTTTAGCAAGATTATACTATATAAGACCAATATATAAAAATCAACTGCATTTTTTTCTACAAGCAATAAATAATGGGAAAATGAAAATTCAAAAGTAATGGCATTTATAGCAACATCATAAATACAAGATCCTCAGGAATGTTTAGGGGTTTATATTGATCTTACATGTATTGATAATACTGATTTATCAATAAGACATACATAACATACAAAGCACTGCTAAAGAAATTAAGGATAATTTAAACAGAGACATGCCAATGTTTTTTTTTTTTTCCTTTGGTACCTGGGATCGAACCTGGGACCCTGCACTTACAGGGCAGGCAGCGGCACCACTGAGCTAAATCCCCACCCTATGCCAATGTTTATATATCAATGTAATCCTATTCAAAATCTCATCAGTCTTTGGGTAGAGACTAGCACCAAGCTGATTTAAAATTCATATGGAAATTCTAAGTACCTAAAATAACCAAAATAGCTTTGAAAAGTAAAAGTTTTAAGACTTACGAGCTAATTTTATCACTTATTAAAAGTAAATGTCTAGTGTCAGGGATTTCACAAGCCTTCCAGATTTTTATCCCATCCAGACTGCAAGCTACTGGATTAGTATCACCCACATGGGGGGGAGGGGGTGTCATCCCACTATCCACACCCAGAACTATGATAAACCAATCAGTGGACTACTTTAGTTATCACACACCCTAAATCCACCTCTGAACAGCCCCACCTATAAACATATGAAGCTTTGAGAGGACATCTAGATACATGCCAAAATAGTAATGAAAACAGCATTCCCACCCACAAGGACGGCTATAATTTTTAAAAATCAAGTTTTAATGAGGATGTGTAGAAAGTGGAACTCTCATAAACTGTTGATGGAGATAAAAGATGATAGGGATACTTAAAAACTCTGGATACTTGAAAGGCTATAAAGCATTTGCTTACTATATAACCCAGCCATATGTATGAGCCTAGGTATTTATCCAACAGAAATGAAAGCACATGTTTATACAAAGACTTAATTACAAATATTCGTTGCAGTCTTAATAACTCCAAAGAGGAAACTATCCAAATGTCCATCAAAGGTGATTAAACAAATTGTGGCTCAACCATAAAAATAGAATACTACTCAGCAATAAAAAGGAATTAAGTATTGACACACACAAAAGAAATCACAACTCTAAAAATTACTATGTTAAGTGATGGAGCCAGGTAGAATTTTATAAGAATCCACACTTTTAAAAGATCACTAAACTTGCAAAAGAATTTATAATGATAGAAAGCAGATCAGTGCTGTAGAGGCATGAAAGGGGAAAAAATGGGCAGGATTACAGAGAGGTACAAAAAAAATTTTGGAGTGACATATATGTTCAATATATTAATTGTGATAATGGTCTTATATGTGTGCATATAGGTCAAAACTTCAAATATATACCACTAGTGATATACCAACTTATTAAACTATCAAAAAATAAGAAATACTAGTGATATGCCAATTTATTCAACTGTTAAATAATAAGAAATAAAGTAAGTAGCCAAGAAGTTCCTGAAGATGCAAATACACACACACACACACACACACACACACACACACACACACACACACAATTGGGAGTGTGTGGGTTTTGGGGGGGGTGGGGGGTACCGGGGATTCAACGGGTCCTTGCGCTTGCAAGGCAGGCCACCAAAACACTGAGCTAAATCTCCAGCCCCACGGAGGACAGCTTTTGCAATATGTTAAGTTGGAACGACTGAGTAGTCCACATGGGAAAAAATTAAGAGTCCCTCTACAATACACTATACACAAAAATAATTCCAGGTGGATCATAAATCTAATTATGAAAAGTTAAAACAAGCCTTCTGGAACATGGGATAGGCAAAAATATTCTTTAAATAAAATACAAAAATTATTATAAGGTAAAGAATGATAAAATTGATCACATTAAAAGATCTTCAGTCCATCAAAAGGTATCATAAAGCAAATAAAAAGATAACTACAGAATACAGAATTTGTTAAAAAAAATCTAATAGTATATTCAACAAAGGACTGAATTCAATTCCTAGTACCCCCTTCAAAAAAAAGAAAAGAGTAGCATGGAAGAGACCCAAACATTCAACAAACATACGTACAAGTTTGGGTAACGTAAAGGAAAATCGTGATGAGATACCATTATCTACCAGACTGGCAAGAAGTTAACAGCCAATATCAAGTACTGGCAAGAATATAGAGCAACAGGAACACTCAGTCCCCTCGCCGGGACCTTTTACAATTACTTTTGGAAAGCAGCTTGACACTACTTAGTGAAGCTAAAGATAACATATCCCATAACCTATCAATCCTTAGGTGCAGACTCTACAGAAATGTGTAGATATATTCACTGGTACAATTGTATAGAGTTCATATTAGTATTATTTATATTAGTGCAAAATTGAAACAGGTCAAATGTCAGTCATCAAATGGATAAATGTTTCGTGGCATATTCATACAATGGAATTCTAAACATTAACAAAAACAAACTACAACTACACATATCGCGGCTGAATATACAAAATGGCAGGTGGAACAAAGAAGGAATTAAAAGAATACAGTGACTCCATTTATTTACAGTTCAAAACTAAGCCAAATACAGTACAGTTTAGTGGCAATTGCTTTCAAAACTATAAAGAAAAACAAAGAACTGCTTAACAACTTTTAACATTTCTAGGGTGCTAGTCATTTTTTTTAACCTGAGTGGTTGTTACACAGGAATTTATAGTTGTTAAAATGCGCAGTTTTTCATCTGTGTCCATTATGCAGTAAGCTTTTTCAATTGAAAACTTTCTGAGATTGATGGAGTAGATACTGACTTACTAAATTTGCTATTAACATTTTTTTAATATATCACAAATGAAACCATAAGCTATGTCGCATTACCATCTGACATAGTTAATGTGTGGCTAGCTCCTTGTATTACCAATTAGCCATGTGGCCTTGGGTAATTTAACCTTTCTGAGCTTCAGTTTCTATAAAATGAGCATAATAATAACAATATTAATTTCTGAGTTACGAGAAGGAAATGATATACCTATATAAGTACTTCAAACAGTGCCCAGCATATAGTGAATACTATGTATAACCATCAAATATAATTTAATATGTTTAGTGCTAGAGATTTAGTTTAGTGGTGCCACTACCTGCCTCACAAGCACAAAGTCCTGAGTTCAACCCCCAGTACCGAAAAAAAATAAAAGTGCATATATAGATAGATAAATGCTACACATGAAGTAATCAATTTCACCAAAGTCAAGGTGCTCTCATTAATTAAAGGAGAACATTCCTATAATCATAATACTAACTCATGCACATAAGACACTGGATATCTTTCACATTTACCATCCTGTGACACCTCCAATTAACAGCTGGGTTGCCACGCTATACTTTTCAGCAGAGGGTCCAGATTCTTGCCCAAACAGCTTGCGCCACCATGGCTGCTTTTTAGCCAATTCTGCAAGGTCCAGTGCCTCAAGCTTTCCCTCGAAGTTTCCTAAAAGAATTAAGATATTAGTAAGAAAACATTTACCTTTGTAATGAATCACTATCATTCCTAACTAGATTAGAAGCTTTTTAAAGGAACACAAGTAGTTGTAATACAGAGTCTCCAAATATAATTGTTTTAAATAGTAAATTAACTCTGAAACAAAACTATAAAATACAGAAACTGAAGATGCCCTAAATTGATGGGCAGAGATACCATGTTTATATTATGCAAGACTCAATGTTTATAAGGTGTTTATTCTGTCTATACTGATCTATAGATCTGATACAATCTCAATCAAAAACCAGGTTTCTACTTAATTGACAAACTGGTTCTAAAATTAGCATTCTGTTCCGGTTACTATGACTATACAACAAATCATCCCCAAACTTCATTGAACAAAACCATGCTATCAGATTCTGTGGATCAGGAATTCAGCCATAGCATTCATGCCTGTTTCTGTTTCATCATGTCTGAGCCTTTTGCTGGAAAACTTACACAGGCTGGAAACTTTATAGCTAGAAAACTCTGCAATCATCTGAAAACTTTACAGTCACATATGGAGGCTGCCTGCTTGCAGAGATCAGACTGGGTTTCCTTACAGCATGGTGGTTAGGTTCAAGAGGCAGCTGTCTCCAGCGAGGGGGAAAAACAAGGGTCAGACAGAAGCTGTATTAGAATTTCAACCTTAGCCTTGAAAGCCAGGCAGCGCTATATGCACTGTATTCCACCAAGGAGTCACAAACTCCCACCCAGATTCAGGGCAAGGGAATAAAGACTCCATTTCTTAGTGGGAGCAGTACCAAAGACACTTGAAAAAAACAATGTGAAAGGGGAGGCAGTGCTGCAACCATTTGGGAAAACACACTCTGCCACAAAAATCTTGGAAGGAAAAAGAATAAAGTTTAAGAAATTTCAAGATTTTTTTTATACACTATAATACAAAGCTAACTAAATTCAAGAATGTAAAGCTCTGGTATTCAACATACCATGGATGCACAAACATATCAGTGGAAGAGAATACAGAGAGAGTCCAGAAATAGATTCACACATGGTGTCATCTGGTTTTTAATAACAAGGCGCCAAGGTAATTCAATGAGAAAAGCATGTCTTTCCAACCAATGGTGTTAAAAGTAATCTTTATCCATACTTAATAAAATGATCCTTAAGCTCTACCTTACTCCATACACCAAACCAGAATTCAAGAGAGATTACAGATCTCAATTAAGCAGTACCTCAAAATAGATGATGAAAGAACTGGATCTTCTATGGCCTAACTAGTAATATGTTTTCTAGTAACAACAAAACATTACTGCTATGTTGAAGAAGAAACGATCACTGAAAACAGCTCAAAAAAAAAGTTTTGAGTTTTGTTTTAATGTAGTTTCCCCAATGCCCTCAGCTGAATAGGTGGCTACAGTCATAAGTGAGATTAGCCAGGCATGGTGGCGCATGCCTGTAATCCCAGCACTCGGGAGGCTGAGGCAGGAGGATCTCTGTGAGTTGAGACCACCCTGGGCTACTAGTGAGTTCCAGGTCAGTCTCAACTACATAGTGAGACCCTGTCTCAAAAAAACAAATAAGTGAGATTAAATCAGAGTCATGTGCTTCACCCCATTTTATTCAGTCATTCATAAGACTCCATTAAGACCTACAGTAGCTGAAAGTCATTAGCCATGCTTATGGACCCCTGAAATCAATGATCCCAGCTCTACTTGGCCATTATAAGGGGTGAAATTCATGTCAGGCTCAAAACTTTAACTACTTGATGAAGCTACACACTAAGTAAATGAGAACAATCTGCCCCGCAGGAAAATAATGATCACATTACACATTCCAACTCTTTAGAGTCATCTAAATTTAGTGGTGTGCTTATAAATGTTTAAAAACTGGCTTTGGGTGGGGGCTGATTTAGGTGTATTCATACACCCCCAGGATGACATCACTGGATTGTGTTATCACTAAAACCTGACTCAGGAAGGGATGCAAAGTAGTACCCAATTCTATGGTATTTCTTCCACAGATAAAATAGGAATAAATAAAAAGAACACAGATAAGAGCCGGGCCTGGTGGCACACACCTGTAATTCCAGCACTTGGGAGGCTGAGGCAGGAGGATCACAGCGTGTTCAAGGGCAGCCTGGGCTACATAGTGAGTTCAGGGCCTGCCTGAACTACAAAGCAAGACCGTGTCTCAAAAACAAAACAAAACAAAAAGAACATGGATAACAGTAAAACATAGTGAATAATTAGCAAGTTTTGAAGATTTTCAGTCTTTGTTTTTAACACAATTTAAGGTTGTTTATATAATTGAATTTTCTCTGAGGGTTCAGTTTAGCAATCAGATCCCGTGAACCAGTACTGAATTAAATACACCCTGAGAAAAATACAGTACTAAGCATAACTTAAGGACGTGCTCATTTCCAAATTATAGAAGATCTTTCTTTGACTAAGTCTATTTAAAAGACTTCCTGGCAAGCATGAAGTCCTGAGTTCGATTCCCACTACCAAAAAAAAAAAAAAAAAAAAAAAAGAAAAAAAGACTATCAAAGTTCTTTCCAATAAAAGCTACTTTTTTCAAAACGATCAACAATGCTGTTAGGGAGGTGCCAATGAGAATAACGCCTACCAGGCGTTAGATAGGAACGTTCAGGGGGACAGGGACAAAAAAGCAGCCTCAAGGAGACAGAGAACTAGGACGCGACGTCTGGACTCTGCGGCTACGGGTGGCGCCAGAGGCTGGACAACTCGCGCTCTGAGACCGAGTCTTAGGCCAGTTCAGGCTCGGCCCAGCGCGTGCCCGCGGCCGGACCCCGTGTGCCCTGTGCGTTCCC